TTCAATTTATTAAAATTAAGAGTCACGATTCCGAATATTTAGAGAAAACTGTTATAGATTTTTTAGATAAGGAAAAGGTACCTGTAGTCGATTGTCGAGGGCAATCTTACGATAATGCAAAAAATATGTCAGGAGTATTCCGGATTCACGCTAGAATAAAGAAATGTAATAATACTGCTGATTACGTTCCATGCGCAGACATAGCTTGAATTCAGTAGGATCTTCAGCAGCAGCTTGTAATTTAACAGTAATACTATTTTTCGCTTTGATTCAGGAATTATATGTTTTTTATCGGGTTCAACTCGCAGATGGAAAAAGCTAACAAATTCTTTAGGATCAATTTTGAAAATATGGAAGTCACTCTCTAAAACATGATGATCAGGCTCGTCATGATGCCGTATCTGCTGTACATGATAGTCATCATGAAATTTTATCGGTTCTCGTTTTGTTATCGGGGGACGAATCGGCAAAAGATGAATACCGCGCTGAAGCGTTAAGATTATACAATAAACTCACTCAATTTCAAAATATTTTTCTGCTAATAGTTTGGAACGATATTTTATCCAGAATTCATATAAACAATTTAACCATACAGAAGGTTTGATAACGTAATCAATATACATCATATTGATTTGATAACAGTTGTCAATATATTGAAGAGTTTGGTAAGGTATACGAGTTTACGTAATAAATTTGAAGTTTTTACAAAAAGCAAAAAATCTTGCTCTCCTTCAAAAGAATAAGCTCTTCAACTTTAAAAGCTCTTGTGTTAGAACACGTAGTGTGCGGCTCAAGACGACTTGAAGAGTCGAGCGCAGACAAAACTTTTTCACAAATTGACAAACTAGAAATAGAAATATTTTATCAAATCATTGACAGTTTGACCGTCAATTTGAACCAAAGAATGGAAGCGTACAATAAATTGCATGGAAACTTTAGCTTTTTCTGGAAATTGTAAATGTTGAATGATAATGAAATTAAAGACAACTCCGTGAAACTTGCGGGCAAATACCAAAAAGATGTATGTGAAAAAAATTTAATAAATAACTGCATTCAATTTAAACATTATTTGATTGAGACAGGTGCAACAAAAATTTATCCTTTAAAGATTTATATGTTAAAATCAATGAAGGCTGCCTGAGATTTATATTTCCTATTTTAGAGATAATTTTGCGGATATTTTTGTGCGTGATGGTGACAAACTGTAGCGGGAAAAGGTCCTTTTCAGCTCTCAAACATTTGAAAAATGATCACCGTAGTACAATGTCAGATACACGCTTAAATGCACTAACATTGATGTACATAGAGTCAGATATTTTGGATTTAATCGATTTCAATGACATCATTGAAACTTTTGCTAATAAAACGTCGAGGACAAAATTATAAACAATAAAAAAATTAATTATTTGATCAAATAATTTTTTATACCTTTTTAGAAATAAAATTCATTCCACATAATTTTTAGCAGTTCTTCAAAAATTTCCTGCTATTTAAATATTTTGCAATAAAAAAATGTCAAATTTTCGTCTCGCTAGGGACCTCAAAGGACCTGGGGCTTTAGGCGATAGCGTACTTTACCTTTGCGTAAAGACGGCACTGGATTTGATTGGCTACTGTTATGAGCCATTATAAATTAGACAAGATTATAAATTTGAATAAATACTATCAACAATAAAAAGAATAATACATTAATATTTTATATCAAATTTTATGAATTGATTTCGGTACATTCGGTACCGTCAATACATTTTAAAAAATAGTTAAAATTTAATTTACAAATTTTAACAAACTCTCTAAATTGTTGGGCATAAATAACTGAAAAAAACAATAGTTGAAAAATAGTTAAAATCACATATCTGTTGATATTGAATATCTTATGAAAAGCTTTAAATATACCAATATTAATTTGAAAAATAAAGAAATGAATCGGATAGGTGCAGCTGACGACTCTATTTATTTGGATAAGAAAAACTAATATCGTGCGCTGCCCATTACCTATATAGCTTAACACCTAAAAATCTGTAACGTTATTAGATTCGAAATTATAGGCAAATATAAACATGATCAGATTTTTTTACCAATTAATATCAACGTATGGTAAGCATTTTAAAGGATATGTAGAATTTTCCATGTATGTATAATGTAGTTTAGAATTTTTTTATTTCGCCTATAATCATTTTTCGACACTCCATGCGGAAAGTGCGTTTTTTCCACACGCTCAGTAAAAAATGTACGTTGAACATCGCACTTTCCACACGTCGTATCAAAAAATACGGTACGGCACATGTTCGGAAAAGAGTTTCTCATCTCATGTACTTTTCTACCCTCGCTTCGCTCGGGCGTAAACGCCACACGAGACCAGAATCTATTTTCCCGCACTTGTATCATAATGTACTATTTCTACATTTCACTGCACTTTCTACAGTGTTTTTTCAAAATTGAATTGTCGGGAGTATTAAAAGTTACATTTCAATAAATTATCTCTTATTTTTCTAAAATTTCCGAAGTCAACAATATTGAAATAAGCGTAAATATAAGTTAGGCTTTGTAGGCGTTTTTTCAGCACTAAAAAAATGTTAGATAATTTTTGATACCAGATTTGGATTTGTAGTAGCACATTGCATAAAATACTCCGCTTTGAAATTAATTTTGAAACTGTTGAGACTGGTAGAAGTAAAAAAGAATCCTTGGTTGCACCAAGTTTCAAAGGTCATATAATAGAACTATCGTCTCTATAGTATTTTTCTCGGATTGCACATCAGTGTCGGTTTCATTTGCTTTTCGTCTCATACTTTTGGCTTCACTCTGAGTTGAGATATTTGATTTTTTCACACTAAAAAAAATGGTCTATGGTGCAACACTGATAAAATAAATTATTGAATAAAATTGATTAAGAATACATAGTAATTTAGGTGATTCTTAACAATTTTTCATTAAAAGCAAAAGGTAAATTGTATAAATATTTGTCATTGAACATATTCCTATAATAAAACAGTTAATAACTACTCCACATTATTTCAAAATTTTGCTGATATATTTCAGACTTCACAGGAAATAGGATTGAGGTAAAATTCCACATTTAAACGAATTGCATAGATCTACTATCATTATCAATATAGTCGTACAAAAAATTTTTATTCTTATAAAATATAAAATACAAATTTTTTATGTATTCTGGTGAAAAAATATCAGCTATTGTTGAAATTATGCTGAATAGTTGTTAAGTTGTTATTGTTAGTTTATTTTTTAAAACTTGTAAAAGAAGTATTACAAAAATATGTATCATTACAAAATTTCCATTAACGTTCAAAGAAATCTATGAAAATTTCAATTTTTCCATATAATTATTGCAAAAAATTATCTTAAATATTTTCAAAGGGAAATATACTATAATTTAATTAAAATCTGCTTCGATTTTATTCTAATTCAATCTTATCATTCTTATCAAAATTAGATCAGTCATCGGATTTAGAGCAGAATCAGTACAGGTTTTTAAATGGGATATACCTGTACAATGTGTCCTTAGGGTAAAATAAAACTGAGTAATTTGGACATTTTCATAAACTAGATAAATCTATACGGAACTTTTTTTTTCAACAAATCTCAATCATTTTGAACAATCAAACAAAATTGTTTAATAACTACATATTTGTTGTCATAGAATTTGCATACTATATAGAATTCAAGATGTCTTAATCCACATTGTTCAAATTAGTTTAATGATATAATTTTTCTATAAAATGAAAATAAATTTTAAGAACTCTATATAGATTGTATTGGAATTATTTACAGGGAATATACTGAATTTATTCTGCATCCTTTAAATTTTACATTATAAAATTGCATATTCATTCCTTTTTATAAAATGTCTTGAAACATATTTATTTAGTGTTATAATGAAAAGATCCAGCAAGTATAGAATAAATTGAATGTAAGCATCCTGTCAAAAATAAACTAAAAGAAGGAAATGATACTTAATTTAAAACCTACCAACATAAACATAGAATTATATCTTTTCAATCATTTTTTTATACAAGATACAATTGAAATTTAAGTTTTAATAAATAGAATAATTCAATGAGATTTATAAAATACTCATTAAAGTTTAAAAATAACACAATAACATCTATGTATTTTTTTAAAAACTTTAAAGTAATACACCCTTAAATCAAACACTGCAAGTTTTTTACTGATAGGTTCTCAGCCTCTTCAGCAAATGTATTATAATTAAATTGTTATATTAATAATTTTTGTACAAACTACATTCTCAATAATATAAAACAAAACTTTTGACATAATAAAATTTAATTATAGAATATTTTCTGAGGAGGTTGAAAACCCATCAGTAAAACATTGAAAAAAGATTAATCTTTGACTTTAACATTGTTCCTGAATATTTTTAATTTCTTCAAAATTTATTAATAATTATAAAAATTCAATACAACAAACATATTCTGTATTTTTTATCTGTGCGATGAGAAAGTTAGGACATATGATGATTTGATATTTTTTTTAAGTTGGTTTACTTGGTATATTAAAGGAATATTAATACAGGTACTTAAAATTTTTTTTCATTGATTGCATTCATTTTCTAGTCATATGTAAAATTACATCTACTTAAAATTACACATATTAATAATTGAAAATAACATTAGTAGATTCACATATTCTTTTATACAAATTTAATCATTTATCAAATCATAAAAATGTTGCATTAATTAAGTATAACTATTTTAGAGAAAAATAAAAAACACAAAGAAAAAGTAAAATCAAATGTGTTAGATTCTAAAATACATTTAAATAAAACTCGCCATGAGAAAGAGAAATATAATATGTTTATAAAACGAATCTTCCTTTACTGATAAAAATATATCACAACTAAGAGAAAAATAGCGTATCAAAAACTAAAAGAACAACGATGTGACCTTAACTGGAACTAACTTAACCTATTTTGAAAATAAAGAAAAGGAAATCGTAAACAAAACAAAAAATACACTAACCTGAACTTTGGCACTACGCTTTGCACCTGAGTTGGTTGATAAGGATGATCATCTTTCATATTGGAATGGAATACTATGCTATCGACTTAATGAACGCAAATACGTAGGCAATAGCACGTGCTTGCGTGCGCGTATATGTATATATCTGCGTATATACACTTATATTGTTTGTGTATTTACTAGTGCTACGGTGTGACAATTGTCTAACACCGGTTAAAAATTAACAAAAAAAAGCTACTACAAATAACGACTAATAAACCAACTTGTGTTCCAAGTTACATGGAAATGCATGAACGAGAGTAAGGGTCTGTGCACGAAAGAAGGAATAGAAGGAACAGATAATTATTTGTGCTTTTTTATTCCACTCTGTGTGTATTTGTGTAATGCTATCTCTCGTCTGCTATATAAACTTCCCCAATAACACAAAAACGTTTTAAAAACGTTTTCTGGATAACTTTTAAACGTTGATGACTTTTAGTGAAAAAAACGTTATTAAAATGTTTTTAAAACGTAATATATGTCCGCGAGTAATACATTTTGAATACGTTTTACAAAAGTTTTAAAAACGTTTATTATAAAAATTTATACAGTAGATCGGTATCACAATACGTTTTGAAAACGTTTTGATACCAGCCTGCTGTATAAATTTTTCTGAAAAACAGTTTAATAACCTTTTCCAAACGTTTTCAAAACGTATTGTGTTATCAGCCTACGGTATACATTTTTTTGGGAAAATGTTTTTAAAACGTTTTCAAAACGTATTCTAATAGTTCATTGTATACGTTTTTCTGGAAAACGTTTTAAAATCGTTTTTAAAACGTATTTTGATACCAGCCTATTATATATATTTTTCTGAAAAACATTCTTAAAACTTTTTCAAAACGTTTTTAAAACGTACTCTGATACCAGCCTATTATAGAACATTTTCGATAAAACGTTGTAACACCTATTTTAAAACGTTTAAAAACGTTTTTAAATCGTTTTCAAAATGTATTGTGATACCGGCTTATTGTATAAATTTCATGAAAAACATTTTTAAAACGTTTTTGAAGCGTTTTCAAAACGTATTAGTCGCGGACATATATTACGTTTTAAAAACGTTTTAAAAATGTTTTTTTTCACTAAAAGTCATCAACGTTTCAAAATTTACCAGAAAACGTTTTTAAGACATTTTTAAAACATTTGGTGCTAATCGGGTTTGTAATTTGTTTTTATTATTGTTGATTTTTTAATTCTATAATATTTAAATTAAATTTCTGTGCATAATTAATTGTAAGTAATACACTAAATATATTCAAATTAATTTTGTCGATAATTTTTTTTAAGTAAATAATGCAAATAGTGTTAAAAAATCCTAAACTTAACCTCCGTTTGTTAAAAGGTGCTTACAAGCCACTTTCTCCTTATCCAACGTTTTCTTTTTTCCATTTGCCATACATTAAAAAGTTTTTCCATTGAATCTTTTAAATTTGTTAATAATTCTTGCTCATTCATTTTTTTGATGCTAAAAAAATCACAAAAAAAATATAATTTTAACACTTTTTGCATTATTTACTTAAAAAAAATTAGCGACGATATTAATTTGAATCTATTTAGTGTATTACTTACAATTAATTATGTACAGAAATTTTATTTAAATATTATAGAATTTATTAACACTAATAATTAACAATAATAAAACCTGAAATTACAAAGTTTATATAGGAGACGTGAGATAGCATTACACAAAAATACACACAGAGTGGAACAAAAAAGTACAAATAGCTATCTGTTCCTTTTTGTTCCTCTCTGTTCCTTTTATTCCTTCTTTCGTGCACAGACCCTAAATGCTCTTACATTGTGGAATATCGGTATTCGCTTCGTGCATGCTGGTAGCGCCATCTGGATATGTCATTTTTTCAGGACACTTCATATACGATTACTATAGGCTTTTACGAAAAAGTAATTATAATAAATATTGAACAAAATAATCGAATAAAAAACATAGTATTATATAAAGACAAAACAATAACTTATTGAGTTATTCCTTTTGGTTGGCTTGATATGCCTATAAATTTGAATTTATCTTGATTTGAAAGTTGATGTCGGGCTTCGTTAACCATTTGTCATCTGCTACACGATTACATTCACCAGTACTAATATTCACGATACTAAAATGTAAAGATATATTTATTTGTTGCTGTTACTGAACTTGTTAGATATACGTGGATACGATAAAAGTAAGTAATTGTTTATAAGTAAGCGGCGTAAAATAAAAGTGGATAAATATGTAATAGAGGTTAATAATATTTATATTAATTTGAAGGTTAAGGTTATGGACATAGATATAATTGTTATAAGGACTGATCTTGAGAGCATTTTACATAGAATTAAATTTAAACCCTGTACTGAAGAAAAAGGAAGAAAATTAGTTGAAAGTGAACACGTACGTCAAGTTGAGGAATATAGAAGGAATGGCCATAGTTATCTCATTAAATGTATTGTTTTAAGACAAACATCTGTTACTCTTGAGCCGTATAAAGTTCAGTTGCATGTAAATTCAATATCAGCGAAAATATATGTGTGTGTGTGCATATATATGCATAACAGTTACTTCGAGGACTTTTTCTAGATGCAACTGTTATTTCCGGGACGTCCCGGAAATCTTCGGAGAAGGGATCTATTCTCAGTCATTTCCGCTTTTGTACCTCCGCTGCTACTATAATAAAAGTAAGTCATAGTAATCTATTAATTTTTAATGTTAACAATTCTCAAAACTGAAAATTTGTTACATAGAAAATTTGCACATGATTTTTCTCAATAATTGATACTACCCTGTTTACAAAATGGATGGAAAATGTACGTAAAAAAATAATTACAACCATTTTTATGATTTTGCTTCCTTGAAAAGGAAGCATTGTTTCGGTTTTTTGGCTAGAAATCACCATTTTCGCTTCAATTTTTTCATTTTTGCTTCAAACCTTCTAGATTTTTTTGCTTTTAATACATATAAATTAGTTTTAAGTATATCATAATGTATTTTATTGAAAACTTTTTTTTTGAATTTTTGACAAGCTTACAAAGTCTCATTTTTGTGGCGTCGCTTTTTTCAAATTTTCGAGATCCCTTCGGCGTTACGTTAGAGATCCCTTCGGCGTTTCGTCAGTTTTCGGACTAGGTCCCTGAAATTTTGCACACATTTTCGAGACACGACCGAGATACATGGCTTTTTTTTTCTCAACGATCGGCCGAACGGTCCGCGCGCTACAGTTTTTTTTCCGCATTACAAACTTATTACCGAAATTTCGCTTTTTTACGAACGTTCGAGATCCCTTCGGCGTTTCGTCGGTTTTTGGACTAGGTCCCTGAAACTTTGCACACATTTTCGAGACACGACCGAGATACATGGCTTTTTTTTTCTCAACGATCGGCCGAACGGTCTGCGCGCTACAATTTTTTTTCCGCATTACAAACTTATTACCGAAATTTCGCTTTTTTACGAACGTTCGAGATCCCTTCGGCGTTTCGTCGGTTTTTGGACTAAGTCCCTGAAACTTTGCACACATTTTCGAGACACGACCGAGATACATGGCTTTTTTTTCTGAACGATCGGCCGAACGGTCCGCGCGCTACAGTTTTTTTTTCGCATTACAAACTTAATACCGAAATTTCGCTTTTTTACGAACGTTCGAGATCCCTTTTTTTTTTAATGGACGTAGACAGAGTTCCCTCTGTCAAGTGGCCCTGTGAAATCAACCACCACCGGCACCGTCGCTAGACATTACTTTGATGGTGGCCGTTGCCCAGTCGATTGGCTGCTCTCTGGCCTCTGCCATTACCGTACATTCCCCATCCATCATACGGTGATTAGTGTTTCACGATCAGTCTCGTCTTCTCTTACTGCATTGTCCGATCGTTTTCTTTTATTGGCATCTTCCGGTTATCTTCTGAACAGACTTCACCACGATACCAATTTTTTTTCCTTTGTTTTGTTAAGGGAGTATAAGATTGAACCCAATTTTCTCTGCCAGTCTATCATGACTGCAGGGTGAATCAGTATCGATAGCCTCGCCGCTTCTGTGTCGTAAGCGTCGTTAACTCCAGAGTGTATATTTTTACCCAAGAGTCTACGTTCACAGATCGGTAAGGGTGACACTTCGATGGGGCCTGCCACCTTCAGTAGGTAATGCTGAAATATACGCTATCTGAATGAGATATCTCTGATGTACTACGTTTGAAAAAGCTCCAGTACCAATCTGATTTTTCTCGTTCGTAAATGAAAATGAACTTCTTCATGATTATCATGTAATCATTACTTCTGATATCATCAATGCCGTAAAATCCGTTGAGCAATGTAATCATTTCTTCTGATATCATCAATGCCTTAAAATTCGTTGAACGCTTCCTGCTCCATGAACGCTTTTTCAGTCGATCTTACTAGTGATTATGAATTCCTTTATTTTCTCCGTCAATTGTATACTGATCGTGCCGTTGATCTGTACTTTTTTGATACTAATACGATCATCATAGTATTTGGAAACGAAGCATAACAATTTTGTGTTTGACATTTCGATGTTCGTTGCATACCTTTTATTTTCGACAATTGAATACTCTTCGTGCCAATTTACTTTCTTTTTCATTTCTGCTTACTCATTAATGCGCAAATATGTCTTTGATCACTTCTGTATTCCATGTTGCATTTCTGATTGCTATAGTTTCATTACGCTATTTTCATTAATCAACCGCTTTATCTTCATGTGATTTTTTCCAGTATTATCACGTAAGGATTTTTAACAGCACCACTAATTAATTGTCGATCTACAGTAGCATCATTAATTTTAATCCAATCTACATCATTGTTAACCAAAAGGTAATAATGACCTTCATGTGATAAGTTGCCTTCATGCACAATAATACTAGTAATTTTATATTGAAAATTGCCTATTGGGATCACTTGATCGATATTATACACATCCAAATTTTTAATTTTTTGCACCAAATTAGATTGATGACAATAAATAAAACTCATCAATTGTAGAATGATCAGTTCATTGTCATCACTAATATCGATGGTATTTATTTCAGATAGTTTGTTGTTACACAATGAACATTGCTGATTTATTCTTTTTTCAGAGCAATAGTTGATATCAAATAAATCCCGCCAATTCAAAGAATGAGCATCATTATAGTTTATAGATATAACTGATGGTAATATTAAAGGCGCAATAAAATTATCAATAAGTTCTGAGTGATTAATTCGATTGCAATTGTAACACTTTTTCATAATTT